CTGGGAGGAGGAGGAAGAGGAGCAGGAGGAGGACGAGTTGGAGGAGGAGGAGGAGACTTCCGAGGGACTGATTCTCTCAAGACGCGGGCCCCAGAGTTCTCGACACTTTCCCGGGGGAACGTGAGGCGGGAACTGGGAAAGGCCGCCGCGAGGGAAAAAATAGGTCCCCCTCCTCTTCCTTCTCCTCCTCTTCTTGTTATTATTGTTATTGATATATACCTCTTCTTCCTCTTATAATTATTATTCTTGCTATTGTTAGCAATCGTAGTATTATTCCTCTTATTATTCTTATTAATATTATTATCATTAGTCCTCTTATCATCGTCATCCGTATTAGTACTATTATTAGTAATATGATTGTTATTATTAGTTGTAGTATTATTAGTACTATTACTCTTAATTTTACTATTACTACTAATATTATTAGTATTAGTATTATTATTAGTAGTATTATCATCATTAGTATTATTGATGTTATTACTATTACTATTATTAATATTACCATTATTAGTAGTATTATTATTAGTATTATTATTAGTCTTATTGTTATTATTATTATTATTATTATTATTATTATTATTCGTAGCATTCGTAACATTAGCACTGTTATTAGTATTCGTAATATTACTCTTATTAGTTGTCGTCTTCTTATTATTTGTAGTATTCTTATTATTATTATCATTATTATTCGGCCCGAGAAGGCGAAAGTCATTGATTCCTCTTTAGTTTTGGAGGGGTTTTGGCTTGTCGGAGGCGTTCTGAAAGGTCTCCTGGGGCCCTCTGGGGCTGTCTTAAGTGTCTCTGGAGGCGTCTTCAGGCTCTGGGCACTTTTGGGTACGCGTTCCCCTTCTTGGGCCTGTCTTGGAGCCGTCTTGGGGCCCTTTCAGGCCGTCTTGGGCGCCTCAAGCACTACGACCCTCCGGACACTTCTGGGTTCGCGTTCCTCTTTTTGGGCCTGTCTTGGAGCCGTCTTGGGGCCCTCTCGTGCCGTCTTTGGCGTCTCAGGGACTGTCTTGCTTCTTGGGCCGTCTTGGGGCTCTCTTGGAGGCTTATTCATCTGTCTTCAAGCGGTCTTGGGGGCCTCTGGGGCCGTCTTGGAGCGTCGGGCAACTGAAATGCGAAAACTCGAAAAGACTTCAAAAACTGAAGGATAATCAGCGATTGTTGCCTCTTCGGACGCTCTTGGGAGGCCGCCTCTTGACCCCTCCAGAAAGCCTTTCGAGGTGGAAGCTCGGATTGTCGGTTCGGGTTACCCCTCCTGTGTCTTTATTGGGGCTGTCTTGGAACGCTCTTGGGTCGTGTTGGACGCCTCGGGCGCCGTTTCGGGGCCCTCTTGGGCCGTCTTGAGGCCCTCTTGGAGGCCTCTTGGGCTGTGTTGGAGCGGACATTGGGGGCCTCTCGGGCCGTTGTGGAGCGTCGGGAAACTGAAAAGGCGAGAACTCGAAAATCCTTCAAAGCCTTCTGATAATCAGCGATTGTTGCCTCTTCTGGCGCTCTTGGAAGGCCTCTCGGAGGCTTCTTGCTTCTTGGGGCGTCTGAGAGGCCTCTTGAAAAGTCTGGCGCTAATTGTGGGGTCATCTCTACCGTCATTGGTCGTTTGGGCAATCCTGAAGGGCGATTTCTGACAGTCCGGGGTCGTCTTCGGGCGATCTTAGAAGGCCCCCGGCGCCCAGGGAGCCCCCCTGGGGCCCCTGGCACACCCGCTTGCGGTCGGGGTCGCGGCCCCGGGGTCCCTGGGTCCGGCTCCCCGTTACATGTAGCTTTGCTAATACGAGAAAAACCTAAAAACATGGAAAACTGATCTGACTAGACCTGCGTCGCGCTGGGGGCCGCCAGGTCCCGAGAGCTCAAGGCGGCTCCTGATGGCTTCCGGAGGGCCTCAGTCTGGGCCAAGAAGAGGGCTGCAAGACGCCCATGGCCCCAAGACAGTCCCAGAGGCCCCCTTCTCGCCCCAAGACACCCCAAGAGGCCTCCCAAGGGAGCCCCAAGAGGCCAAAATCTCCAAATCCATTTGTAAACCGTGCATGAACAACTTCTCGCCTTCCCGACGCTCCAATTACGGCCCAAGACGCCCCCCAGATTGCCCCAAGACAGCCCAAGAGGCACTCAAGAGGGTCCGAAGACAGCCCAAGAGGTGCCCAAAAGGGCCCAAGGGGACCCCAAAACGGCTCCCGAGAGGCACCGAGGACCCACACAGAGGCCCCCAAGAGACCCCAAAAACACCCCAAGAGACGCCAAAACAGCCCCCAAGACACCCCTAAGAGGCCTCCCAAAGGAGCCCCGAGAGGCCAAAATCGCCGAAATCCCTGAGTAAAACGTGCGTCTGCAGCATCAACAACGTCTCGAATTCCCGACGCTCCCAGACGGCCCAAAGGGACCCAAAAACGGTTCCCGAGAGGCACCAAGGACCCACACAGAGACCCCCAAGAGACCCCAAAACCGCTCCAAGAGACGCCAAAACAGCCCCCAAGACACCCCAAGAGGCCTCCCAAGGGAGCCCCAAGAGGCCAAAATCGCCGAAATCCCTTAGTAAAACGTGCGTCTGCAGCATCAACAACGTCTCGCCTTCCCGACGCTCCAAGACGGCCCAAGACGCCCCCCAGATTGCCCCAAGACGGCCCAAGAGGCACTTAAGAGGCCCCCACGACGGCCCAAGAGGGCCCCAAGACGGCCCAAGAGGATGCAACCTATGTAATGCAATCTAGACGGTCCCATCTATTCGGTGCATTCTATGTGGTGCCCAAGACGGCCCCAAAACGGCCCCCGAGAGGCACCAATGACCCCCACCGAGGCCTCCAACAGGCCCCAGCTCCCCAAGAGGCGAAAACAAATACCTCAAGAGACGCCAAAACAGCCCCCAACAGGAGTCAAAACTGCTTCCGCAAAACAGCCTGCAAGCCTCTTGGACCCCCTGGATTAGTAAGGCGACGGTCAGAGAATATATATATATATATATATATATATATATATATATATATAATGTGTACATATACATATGTGTATATATATACACATATATACCTATACCTATACCTATACCTATACCTATACCTATACCTATACCTATACCTATACCTATACCTATACCTATACCTATACCTATACCTATACCTATACCTATACCTATACCTATACCTATACCTATACCTATACCTATACCTATACCTATACCTATACCTATACCTATACCTATACCTATACCTATACCTATACCTATATAGAGAGCCGTGTTGGAGTCCTGTTGGGCTGACCTGGAACAATCATGTGGGGGTCTCTCGGGCGGTTTGGGCGCGGTCCTGAAGCATTCCCGGGCACGCTCGAAGCGTCGCAAGCTCGAGAAGGCGACGAACCCAAACACATTCGAAAAAACAATGGAAAATCAAGATTTGTTGCCTGTGGGAGCCGTCTGGTGCAGGGTCTTGGAACTCTGTAGGAGCGGCTTCAAGGCGTCTGGAGCCGTCGCTGCGGCCTCCCTGCAGCCTCTGGGGGCCTCTGAAGGCCCCGGGTCGCCGAAACCCTGTAAAATCATAGGGGAAATGACGCTGTGCACCCCCATTTGTCGTAGAGGCCGCGGCCACGGGGGCCGGTGCTCTGTTATGTGTGTGTATATAATATATATATATATATATTATATATATATATATATATATTTATATATGTATAGCATGACTGGCCCAAGCGAGGAATGTCCAAAGAAACTGCACCAGAATCCTAAGGAATCCATATGTCTCAAAACAAATGTCCCCGAGCAGAGAAAATTCAAGGAATTGCGTTTACCTTTTCCTGACCCCCTGAAGGCTGACCCCCATTATCAGGCGAAGAACCGAAGTCGCATGAGATCGGGTCGAAGTAGATGGGGTCGGAGGATTGCGCCACGTCGACGATGCATCGGCGATGCATAGGCGACGTCGGCGATGCATCGGCGAAGTCGGCGTGGAGAAAATTGAGCTCCACAGCGAGCTGTAGCGGCGATGCGGCGCGATCATCCGACCACATCTACTCGGACCCCATCTGGGAGGCTCAGAGAAGACCGCCGGACGAAGGGAAGAAAACGAGGATCATGACCAAGACTGAACGCGGAAACGTCGTGTCGATCTTGGTCACCGTCCGTCTTGGTCAGCGTCAGCTCGTGCGTCGTCTCCGCGGACGAACAACGGCCGACACGGATCATGACCAAGATCGACATAGACACGATCTCGCGACATCTTGGTCCTGGTCCCCGTGCTTGCTCCCTCGACGGGAGCTGAGAAGCTCAGTCGCCGCCGCCGCCGTCGTCGTTGTCGTCGTCGAGCGTCGAGCGTCGAGCTCGGAGTTCGCCACCGATGCCTGGGCACCGGCAGGGCCACGTCGACGCCGTCGTCGCCGCCGTCGTTGCCGCCGTCGCCGCCGTCGTCGCTGCCGCCGCCGCCGTCGTCGTCGTCGCCGTCGCCGTCGCCATCGCCGTCGTCGCCGTCGTCGCCGTCGCCGTCGCTGTCGCCGTCGTCGTCGTGTTCGTCGCCTTCGTCTTCGCCGCCGCCGCCGCCGCCGCCGTCGCCGCTGCCGCCGCCGCCGTCGTCGCCGCCGCCGCCGCCGTCGTCGCGACGTCTGGGCACCGGCAGGGCCACGTCGGCGCTCCCGCGGGGCCCCGCCGGGCCCGCGCCGCCGCTTGGGCCGCCCGCCGGCAGGCGCAGCGGGCCGCCCGGCAGCCCGCTGCCCCAGAAGAGCACGGGCTGCCCGGCGTCCGCCGGGCCGCGCAGCAGCCGCTCGACGGAGGCCTGGGGGAGCCACGAGGGCCGCTGGGGGGGGGAGGAGGCCCAGGCCCCCTCGCGTCAAGTCGGGCCTGTCCCCCTACAGGCCGATGTTGGACGAAAGATTAAAAACTACCCCAAAAAATACTGAGAAGGTGCTCGAGGATGGTCAAAACATCGTCCCCATGAATAATTTGTTTGACTATTTTTGCACATCCCCCCTGTAGAGGGACAGGCCGGACTCAACCCTCGCGTCATGACAAAATCATGGCG